GACGCTGATCCCAATGGTGGAGTCGTCGACATATTTCCAGCGAGCAGGGGTTTCTCTTAGGGCATCATTGATGAGCATAAGGAAGCAGAGTGGTCCCATCTTGGTGCCTTGGGGGACGCCACAGGTGAGTGACTGAAAGGTGGAGACAGCCCCTCGGAAGCGTACAGCTTGGCGTCGGTCACTGAGGAAGTCTGTAAGCCATGGTATGAGACTTCTCCGAAGCCCGAGGTCAATAGCTTTGTTTATGATTATATTGTGGTCGACTAGGTCGAACGCTTTAGTGAAATCAATGAAGGCGACAGCTACAGACGTTTTTCGTTTCTCGAGATGGCGGTATATGTAATCGAGAAAGCTGACAAGACAGTGAGTGGTGGAGGAAGTTTTCATGTTGCCAAATTGCTGAGGGTCTACGACTCCTGCAATATCAGCATAAGCCCAGTCAAACACAAAACTTTCACAGATTAGGCTGGGTATTGGGGTGATTGCAATAGGTCGTAGCTGATTTAAGGATTGTGGGCTGGTTGACTTGGGCACTGGTGATACATAAGAGGTCTTCCAGTCAGCTGGGCATCTGGCTTGACTGAGAGAAGCATTGATGATGGAGCAGAGGGGTTTAGCAAGCTCCGGGGAGAACTCCTTGAATAGTTTCATTGGTAAGTCAATGGGGGTGGTAGAGCGTTTTAATTTTAGTTTGTCCAGGCGTTTTGCTACGTCAAATTCCTCTACTAAGTCAGTGGGAAGGGGGGCTGGTAGGTAAGCAGGGAGAGTGGTTGTGTCAAGCCGTGGGAGCGTCTGGCATATAGTAGCGAAATGGTTATTTGTTTGCTCAGCTGCGTCAACATTAGTGAGATGGCTAAGGAAGGGGAGGGGGTGTGTCATATTGTTTAGTCCACAGAGTTCTTTAAGCTTACCATACCATTGACTGATGTTGGTCTGCTTCAGGTGTTGTAATTTGGTTGGGTAGTGGGACTTCTTTGCAGTGCGTATTTCGCGGATGACTCTGTTGCGAAGTGACCTGTAGCGGATGTGGTCATTGAGATGAAAGGCTCTGTCTCTCTGTTGCATAAGTCTTTTGATCCGAGGTGTGATCCAGGGCAAGTCAGCTGGGTGAGATCTGACGGACTTCTCGGGGAAGAAGTGGTGGTGAGCTTCGGTGGTGGTGTTGGTATAATTTATCCATTTGGTTTCCACGTCATCCACGCTGAGTACTTCAGTCCAGGGATAGTGAACTATCCACTGTCCAAAGAGGCGTACTGCAGAGTCAGTAATCGGCCTGTAGGTCTTGATGTAGGGTCTCTGTACTTGAGTGGGAGTGGCAGCAGGGGACCAGAGCACTGATAAGTGTGTGCTACACCCGATAGGAGGCAGTGGTTGAGGAGGTTGGTACTGGTCCGCTAAGTCAGTTAAGATAAGGTCAAGGGTGTTTTGACCGTGTGTGGGGAAGGTCACAACTTGTGATAGTGATAGCTGGTCCTGGATATCAGTGGTGTCAATTTCATTTAAATCCCCACATAATACTAACTTGGCACATGGGTACCTAACTCTGAGGTGGTCTGAGGTGGTGATGAGATGATTGATAAGAGTGTCTCTGGTGGGTGATCGAGGCGGATGGTATGCCACACAGATTATGATGGAGGCAGTGTTGCGTGGGTGTGCCCGCAGCACGACACGTACCCATAATGCTTCCACATCTGCTGGGACTTGAACATCCAGGCGTGACGGGCGTAGGTCATCTTGACAGAAGAGGGCAACGCCCCCTCCGCGTCTTTGTGGACGAAGGTGATGAAAGAGTTGATATCCCTCAATGTGACACGTTTCAGGTACAATTTGCCAAGTCTCACATATGGCAACCACGCGCGCGGCGGTTGACCTGACTGTAGTTGCCAGCTCGTCGAACTTGTTAGCTAGGGAAGTGACGTTGGATAGCAGTAAAGACGGGAGATCATACCATATCCGTGGAACTTCAGTGTGGTGGTATGGTCTGTCAGGGGTGGGTTTCTCCGGTTTCCTAGTGGAGGTTACGGTTCTAATGGGCTTATGTGCATGACGGCCTTGTCTACGGCTCCGCGCGTGGAATATTTTCAGTGACTTGAGTAGCGCGATAACACTCCCATCAGGATAACCGTTCCCACGCTTTAGATGATACAGAGTGCGTCGGGAGTAAGTGATTGGTGGCCATCGGTTGAAATCTGTTGTGGGCGGACGGAAGTGTTTGTCACTGGCGGCACTTTGAGGGACACTGACACTGGTAGACATCTGTTAATGTTTGTCAGTTGTAAAGACCGTGGACTTTGTCCTCGGTGCTTGGGGTCGCCGACACAGTTTTCACGATATATGTAAGCACCGCGGTGGTCCTTGTCACTGGCACTTTAAAGTTGACCGATAAAGTGCCCACTGTCTGACTTTTCCTTGGGGTGCACTATCGAGCACTGTATGGTAATCACTTATTGCACTGATGGCTAGAATGTTTTGCCGAGAAAGTTCCTTAGGTGCACTATAGGAACACTGCTCCGTAATCATTCGTTCACTAATCACTAGAATGTTTTGCTGAATCGATCCTGGTGTAGTAAGGCTGGTAGGGCGTTGGGGTATAGCAGGGGGAGTGGGCAGGGCCAAACAGATTCGGCCTGGCTGCTAAAACCGAGAGCGCCTTCAGGCACGTCTTATCTCACTGAGGGTTGACAAGTACTGTGTGTGTGTGTGTGTATGTGTGGTTGATATGGAACATAAACTGTCGTACGGTAGTCATTGATTATTATCTTATATCGTTCACAGTTTATTACACTGGCAATTCGTTATATATACGCCATTCATCATCACGGTACAACGATTACATCAAAATGCTAGATCAGAAGAAAACTTCCCATTGTCGCCTGTGACGAATGAATATGAAATGTTGCATTGGCTCCTCAAGTGTTGCTAACATGTTTCTATTTTAATAAAAGAGGTGGACACAAGTCTGAAGTCTCCTCCACCGCACATAATTTATTTAGATATAATATATAACACATATATTTTTCCTTCATACTAGTTAAAAAAATAATTTTTTTGAAATGACAACTGATAGAAAATTTCTTAAATGATTCCTTTACAGATAAAGAAATATATATAGCTTATAGAAACGGAATTACTTGTGCTTAGAAAAGTCTTATTTTCTTTTACAGTTCACCATCCTTACACAACCAGACGTGACATGCACCTCGGATACATAGACAGATTGCAAGCACTCTTATTATTATTACATGTTTTATTTACTCTATGAGTAGAGTAACAATCACATGTGGATAAAGAATCACTGTAATTAAATTCAAACCTCCTCTTGTTCACACTATGGCCAAGGTTTAACATGAACAGTATGAATGTCATCTGCATAATATAGCAGACGAGGAAAATAATAGATATAAACTTATGCTTAAAGTATGTATTAATATTTTATCATCCACATATACCATTACTGTAGGTAGAGGGGCACCTGCCTTCTTTTCCCTCCCTGCTGCCCCTCATCCCACCCCACATTCTCTTTACGTCACTTGACCTTGCTATAACACCGTCCACTAGGCAAACGATACGATCCAATAACAGTCAATTTAATGTTTTTCTTATGAAACATATAAACATTCCACAAATCTTTACATTTGTATATTTGTTTTAATATATTTTGCTTTGATTTTAGAGTATGTTTGATATTGCGAGTTTCCTATAACCAAATGCAGCTCTGCCACATTGCACAAAACATGACGAGCCCCTGTAAACGCACTAGTGAAGGGGACTGTACAGTGTGAAAAGTGTAATTTGATAAACAAGGTACTGTGTAAGGTGCAGTGTGAGGTTGTATGTGACGATTATTGTGATTCATTCCGTGAGTTGAAGTCTGAAGAAACGAATAAGGTGTTATACGAGATAGAGTGGTGTTGTTTGAGGTATAGTGTTAGGAAGTATATGAGGTACAGTATTTTGTGACGCATTATATGAGGTATCGTATATAATACTGTGTGGAATATTTTATGAGTTAAAGTATAAGGTATTGTGTGAGATATGGTACGAATATTGTGCGAGTTACAGTGTAGCATTTGAATAGGGTGTAGCATGCAGGACTGCTTGAAATATAGTGGCATATACTAAGGGGAGATATACTATACTATATCGCGTGAAATATTATGTGATATATCGTTCGAAGTATAAACGGAAGTATTGCATAAGATACTGTATGAATTTTGTTGTGAGATATTGTGTGAAATATTATAGAGAATATTGTATCAATAATTTTTTAAGTCCTCTTATTTCTCCTATTTCAAAAACTCCGATTTTGGGTGAATTGAACAATAAAACTTTCTTCCTTAAAGTTTAGTTCATCACATCTTTTGTTTTCATTCTAGATGTAACGTTTCTCTTTTATACCACTGTGACTATTTCACCATTATTGTAGCGGTCATTTCACATACAATGTATGTTACATTTTTTTTTTGGGCGAAATCGGTTATTTTGCAAAATTCCCGGCATGCATATTGGAGAGTAACTTTGGCCTTTGTCTTCATCATATAGATTTTATATAGCGTCGTGAATTGGGGAAAAAGTAAAGATCAACTACATTAGTCAATATATCTAACAGCTGGTTGAAGCGTTGGGTTAGTAGTTTACTTTTTTAAGTAAATTGTATTGTCTCGGTAAATATATTCAATTCTTTTTTGCGTGACGAAGTTTATCATGAAGTGAATATTATTATATTTACGCAAATAAATGGTAATAAGTATTAATATTTTTTACTGATTACACTTCTCCTTCATATAATTATGCGTTTATGAAGCAAATGGATTTCCATTTCTTAGCAATATAAACAAAAAAAGATGAATCTCCTAGACTCCTAGAGAGAATACCAAAAGGCAATTTAGTCGTGACTATAGAGATTAGAACTTCCATTTTTCTTACGTTTAAAACTTATTGGGGTTTTCTGAGCGTACATAGAAGACGCTACTGAACAAAAGTTACACTGCAACACTGACCTGCCAGCGAGAGATGAGGAGCTCCAGGTTGCCAAGGAAGGTATAGTCGCCGTGGGTAGTGTAGGTGATAGACTGGTTACAGAGGAATGATCGATCAGCAGGGATGTAGTTCTCGAGGACCCAGTACTGACCCCGCTGGTAATATAAGGGACGCAGCGGCCTTGTTTGGCACTCATTCAGGTCTGGGTATATCTTTTGCTTGAGTGAGATTTGCTTAAAAATTTTCTTCTGATACACAGAATTTTTGCTGTAACTTTTTTTATCTTGATAGTTTAAGAGATTCACATTTTCATCCACTTCATAAAACTCTTTCGTTGTATGAAAATGTTTATTTCCATTTGTTCTGTAGGAATAAGAATATATTAAAATGTGTGAAGATGAAATGATTTGTGTACTATATTACAGTATATTGTAATGAAGTTTTTGCCGAATAGGGAGAAATTTTTATATGTATTGCTCTAAATCAATGGAAATTAATTTCTGCATGTTAAAATTTTATGTTTTCTTGTAAGGTGTAGTTTACTTTCATAAAATAATAAAATTATACGTAAAATAGGTAAGGTTTGGTTAGGTTAAGTAAAGTTAGGTCAGGTTAGTTTAGGTTGATTTTGTATGAACCTTTGTTAATAACGATTCGTTTAATGTATTACCAGTCAGAAGTTTAAAAAAAGGATAATTATTTAGGAGTTATTGTTCATCAACAATTATCCCTACTTAGCATCTAACGACCTATTGATATTGATACTGAAACAGTTTATGTAGCCAGACAAATACAGATACAGAGTCGCTAATAATAACAATACAGTACACCTTTTCACATATCCGTTGAGACATTGTTACATAACTATTTGACAAATTTCATAACCGAATGACAGACAGAACACATTTTGAATCTAAAATAACTGTTGGTGCTGTCATTCTCCAATTGTTACATTCTCAAACTATATGTAGACTGTCGGCTTATTGTTCATGTCTGTCAATTTCATAACTTCTGTCAATCATTTCCGTTAGCATAAACGAACAGCTATTTTAGCTTGTCATTCGATGTGTGTTCTGTCTGTCATTCGGTTATGAAATTTGTCAAATAGTTATGTAACAATGTCTCAACGGATATGTGAAAAGGTGTATTAACATAGCTGAGCCGATTTAGAACCTGAGCTCTCTTAGTGCCACCTGATATATGCTGTACATTTAACTCCAGTAATTATTATATATCATTTGGTATCATCTGGAATAGTACACGTAAAATGGTGTTAGTATTATTGTGAAATAAGGGAACAGATAGTCAGGATCATGTTTTGACGGTGTCCATAAATAATTACCCTAAAAACAGTATGCTCTCATGTTGTAATCAGAGTAATCATTTATGGACACCCTGTATTTAATTACTGCAGTGATAATTACTATCTACGTGACAATATATGCTATAATGGTTTTGATGGTAAAAAGGTAAAAGTATAAAGTAAGTGCTGCAAAAATATTGAAACTTAGACAATAGACAAATTTTAAGAGTTGATTTAGAGGAAGGGGTAGTAGTTTTTGCTCGGATGGGTGAGGGTAAGTTGTTCCACACCTTCACACCATATTTTGTATAAATTATTACCCTGGTTAAAACATGAGAGCATACTGTTTTTAGGGTAATCATTTATGGACACCCTGTATTTCTTGTTTTTTTTTTTTACGGGGATTAGCCCACCCGGGCACAGGTCACTGACCAACATCGAGGCCTGGGGGCTAAAATGTAATAATAATAATGATAATAATAATAATAATAATAATAATTTATTCATAGTGAATAAATTTTTTTAATACAATCGAAAATTATAAATAAATTAATAATGATAATAATAACAATAATTATAATAACAATTTATTCATTGTAAATAAACATTTTAATATAATAGAAAATTATTAATAAAATAATAATACTAATAATAATAATAATAATAATAATAATAATAATAAAGAACCACAAAGAAATACAAAAATGAAAGGAATCAATAGTGAGAAACGATATATGTATGTTGTGTTGTCAAAATAAGAGAAACAATTGAGACCCTGCAATTGTGTGTAAATGAGGCAGAAAGTCAGATCAGCAACCTGGGACTTAGTCACAATTTTCGTGATGCCATATGGCAGCAGAGTCTACAATTAGACAACAGATTATGCTTCCAATATCTTCCCAGGCGGTATTACCTCCCTGTTTGATAGCTGCCTACTACCTCCTATCTATACTATAGTGTCTCCTTCAAAAGTTTTTAAATATATTTGCAGATGTGCCTCGGCCAAGTCTAATAGTACCTCATGATGTAGAACTGATAAAAGGTACGAGTCTAATGAACCAGGCTCCTTGTCGTATTTCTCCATGTAAACTGAAGATCCTGAGGGAGGAAATCCAGTTCCAGTTACAACATGGTTTAGCAGAAACGAGCAACAGTGATTTGGCCGCTCCGTGTGTAATCGTACCCAAGCCAGATGGGTGTTAAGCGCTCATCCGGACCGATTCCCCTTTTCTTTTTTTAGGTTGAGGTGGGAAAAGGATGGAAATGCTGGGGCTCAAGGCACAGCCAGACATGAGGGATAGAGAAGTCACGACAGATAGTAGTTGGGGGGAAAGGTTGGAAAAGAAGTTTAATGAGTTAAACAGAGGGGAACGACACCCCTTGTTTTACATATTACAGAGTTTTTTGGCTAACTAAGCTGACCTAGGATTGAGAATGATGTTGCACAATGGTTACTTTGGTTGACAATGACTAGTTTGATTTTACAATTACATGTTTATTAAAACTTATTACTGCATTACGTTATGGACTCACTAGATTGTGACTTGTTAAATGTAATCTTATATCATCTGTTTTAATCTAAGGTTGATCACTGTGGCGGACATAGATGGGTCCCGAGGTTGGGTTGTTGTAGTACGGGCAGAATCTGTGGCCACCAGGCATGGGGTCGCTCTCTGCTTATGTCTTCCCCGCTTAGGTGGTCTGGGATGTGAGGGTCGTCCAGGATCTTATCCTAAAAACCTTCTTCCCTGGGCTATGGAACCTGTCGTTCAGGGCCTCCGTTTTATTTCTTAGGTGGGTGGTTTCCACTGACTCCTAGTAGGGTGGCTGACCTCAAACACTTGTTTTGGAAGCTCTGTAGTTGTTGTAGTCTAGTCTTCCCGAGTGTGACGAGTGGTATATGTGGGTACTCAAACACAGGCCTCACCAGCGCCTTGTACAGGTGAACGTGTATCTTCTCAGGCATAAGTTTAAAAGTTTTAATTTGGCGGCGGCGACTTTGGCTTTCTTTAGTCTGTCCTTCACGTGGGAAATGATACCCGTCCGAGAGATGATGAGGCCGAGCAACCTGACTTGTTTAGAGTACTCAATCTCTTCGTCGTCGATCATCAATGGCGCCGGCTTGAATTTGGCATACATGACGTACTCGCTGTCAACGATTGGGGGTGGCAGGTCAGACATGTAAGGCGTGTAAAGGGTTAGTGAGAGACAAGAGCCCTGAGACACGCCGCTGGAGAGTGAAAATTCTTCTCCACATTGTTCTTGCATCTTGATTTTGGCTCTGCGATCTGTAATAAAGTTGCATAACAGGCACATCAGATTTTCGGGTAGACCCAGTTTTATGATCTTATACTGCAGCCCGGCGTGTCAAACTTTGTCAACGCCTTGATGACGTTGTAATAATGTCATAAGTGTTTCCTGCCTGAGTGTTTCCGCCAAGTTCGAACCAATAGAGTGAATGCCTTTGGACTTGCCTTGACCAATGAGAAAGCCGCGAGACGTGACGCCATGAAGATGTAGCGTCCCTTTGTTACCCACGCAGTTTGAAAAAGACAGTCTGTTTATGGAGAGAGTGGGTGTCACCTCCTCACATGGCGGGCTATAATGGGAGTACGTTTTAAGTTTTATCCGTTTCACGAAATATATTGTGATTCATGTGACCCCTGGTTAGATAGCTAGGAAGATAGGTTATTATTTTGAAGTGTAACTATTCAATTTGAGTAACGTCATTAATAAATGAAGAACCGTTATGATTAGTTCTCAATTCCCTTGTGTTGACTAAAGCATTGCCGTGCATGTCTTTGGTATTATGCAATAATACAGTGAGACCTAAATAATAACTATTTCATATTTCCCCTCTGCTAAGTGTTGTATCTTAGTCCTAAGCTGTCCACCTCAGTTATTCATCTCCCCAGTCTCCTGTTGGTGTGAGGGTCGACTGCAGGCCTACATTCCTACCCCTCAGACTAACCTCAAACATAAACAATTACCTCTCACTCCCTCCTTTCTCAAGGAGACAGGAGAAAATAAAATAAAATTAAATAAAAGAAGTCAAAACTAAATAAATAAATAGAAGTAAGAAAAAGGAATATAAATATGTAAATAAAATTAATAAAAGTAAACAAAACACAGCTCTTTGTTACATGGTGACAGTGATGTTAATTTTGTTTTAAGAATATTATTTAAAAATCACTTGCATATTTTTCATTTCCTACTATTTATACTGTGTTGGGTGCTGTCATGTCAACCATGAGTGTGGTATCAACTATTCAATTAAGCAAACTAATGCTACAATAACTAAACCTACAGTACAGTAAAACATAACTAGAAAAGTTTACAAAACAAACAGATTGTCATTTAATACGTAAATTGGCCGTGAGTTTTACAAGGTATTATAACTAAATCATTTCAACCAAAAAGCCCCTAGACACACATAGAAAAAGAAATCCTATAAATTTTGAGATTGAAATAAAGTAAAAGTTAAAATAAAGTAACTGAAGACATTTGCCTTCTTGATTGTTCAGTTCCGTAACATATGGGTTGCCTGTCCTAGAAGCAAATTGTTCACTTACTCTTTGTATTGAGTTTCAATTTGTTTCATATTAATTATTTCGGTATTACTGTTTCAACTCTAAAATAAAACTTGATGCTACATGACAACAGTACAAGGCAGTATTTAGTGGGTATTATGTAATATTTCTGCCTGTGTTGGTAGTCCAAGTTATATTTATCTGCTTACACTTTTCTGATATGCTTGACTTAATATGGTTGTTACATAGTGTTAAGCCTCCTGTAAATGCACTTGGAGTCAGAGATAGTGAGTGATTTGGCCAGCCATTTAAGTTGATAAATCACTAATACAGTTGTAGTGTATTAAGTATTAGTGTTCATATAAAAACAGGGTAAGACTTGTAAGATCCAAGTAAACTAATTCAGATGTGGTTGTAGCCACGAATGTTTACATTAAGAGCCGTTTCTTCCCCCTTAGTTTGTCAAAACTGTCAATAACGAGAGTGGACTCCTTACATGTATACTCTGACGTGGAGTCAGTTAGCTTTAA